CTTCGGGGAGACTAGGTGATAGCCTTGTCTAGGAACCGAGAAGCCCCCACTTCTATAAGTGGTGGGTAGTTCACTTACTCCATAAACTCCACTAATCATTAAAAAAAAGGACAATCGCCACTAATGTAATTTTAGTGCTTCTTTCCGGTTTCTGTAAATCTTGAATTTCTCTTTTTAACTTTTCTATTTCAGCACTTAAAGATTTAATTTTTTCGGTCAGAATTTGGTTTTGTCTTGCGATTTCTGTTGACTCGTCCTTGGACTTCTTATCCCCGTTTTCTCCTCTGGTTCTAGGAGAAGTAATTTTCTCCTTTGTTCTTAGTAAAAATTCTTTCATAACCACTTCAATTTCCTCACGAGAAGATGCCGTATTTATTTTTCCTTCGTAATCTTGGTACTCTCGGTCGGTGAATTGTCCCCTAATTTGTCGCAATGCCAGCAAAGAATTAAACCTTACAGTTTTTAATTGTGCTTGATTATCCTTCTTTTCTTTCAATCTTTCCAATTCCTTGCGCAAACTTTCTAATTCTTTTTTTTCGTCTACTGAGTTTTTTTCCTGGTTATCCTCTAAATCAACGTTAAGAAAATCGCAGGGAATGACTTTATGAACCGTTTCTGAGTCAACCTTTATCTTGCTTTCTAATTTTCCTTGGCTAGTTTCTTCGGCTCACTGCAAAAGGCAATAATCAAAAATACTATCCAAAGCGGATTTTAACTGCCGAACACCTTTTTCTTTAGTTTTATTGATTAATGTTTCTAAGGCTCCAGGAGTAATTTCCAGATTATCGGGATCAAGACTGGGATTTTGGCTAAATCATTTTTGAATAAATTGGCGAGCGATAGGTTTTTTTTGCTCGTTATCATAGCCTGGTAATTCAACAACAGTTGATATTCTCGATAGCAGGTGCTCGGGTATTTTTTTCGGGTCATTGGCGGTGATCACAAAGGTTGTTTGGGAAAAATCTAATTTAACATCCAAATAATAATCCAAAATTTCCTTATTTTGTGCCGAATCCAAAACTGCGTTTAGGCAATTATGAATGGCTGAATTACTTCTGTAAGAAGTAACTTTATCAATTTCATCCAACAAAATTAATGGGTAGTGGGTTTTAGTCTCCGTCAAGGCCTTAGTCAATTGTCCGATTTCGGTTCCGGAAGAGTTTTCGCTGGCTCCGAGCAGCAGAGAAGTGTCGGTGGTTCCCCCTAACGACACCAGAAAAAATTCTTTCTTTAAGGCCTGAGACAAGAGGCGAGCATAAGTAGTTTTTCCCACCCCTGGCGACCCGAAAAGGCATAAAATCAAAGGTGTTTCTTGAACGTTGTTTTGTTGGCAGTAGCCTCTGATTTTCAAAATACGCAAAATCTTTTCATTTTGTTTCTCAAAGCCTACTTGCTGATTAAGGATTTGTTCGGCTTCGGCTAAATTGGTCGGTAGAGAAGTCGATTGATAAGCCGTAATTAATTCGTTAATTTTTTTGATTTTATATTCCAAAGTTTCTCGACGGTTGCTTCCACCG